GATATTGGTTGAAGATGTTGTATGAACAGATTTTTTAAACCATGGTGAAGTATATCATAATGTAATACCCAATGCATCTATGTCTTGTGGAAAACGAAAGGACTCTTACAAATTCCAGAGGATTTTAGCAGAGTGATTTATTGCACAGGTTCAGAAGCAATAGCAACAAGCAATTCTGAACCCCGAGGGCGGGTTCAGACTTCAGTTTTATACTTTCCTTTTCTCAGGAACAAAGGAATACACATTGAAATACACATTGTAATACATTAGGTTAGTGTCTCATGGGTATACAATGGAGAGTTTGCTACATACATTGTATCCAAGTACAATGCGCATTAGGTTAGTCACATACTACTAACGCAGCACTATTCCAGTAATTATGCAAACACATCATTATTCTAGTGATTGTTCATTATTCCACATTATATGTGCTACTTTTCATATAGGTCTGTGTATGTTTCATTCAACTACCCTGTCACAACCAGCTTGAAAACACTGCAGAAACTCTCTTTAGCATTAGTGTTCCCATAATGTTGTTGAGGGTCAGCAGCTGAACTCTTAACCCTCAGTTCAGCAGCAGCACAAGATGATGGCCAAGGACTGTTCTGCAGGTTTAGCTGAAACCATGAGTGTGGTTGCCTTGTCATTGCTGAAAATTCTTGCTTGCTTGTATCTCCCTGATGAAGGCAAGGTGACAGGCATCATTTCACCATCTTTCTCAAGAATAACTTTTCAGTCTTTTGAAAGATTGAAAGGATGGACTATTTAAAAAAAAATTGAAGCACTTAGAACACTGTGTATCACATAACTATTTCCCAATCCTATCCAGGATAAGAAGGAATGTATTTGAATGGGAGACGGTTTCAATTGTGTTTCATTACAAGGAGGGAGAGTCAAGGTGGGGAGGGGGCACTGGAGAAAAAGGAATAGGGAAGCAATTATAGAACAATCTAAAAGCAGTTAGTTCTCATTAACTTCTGCTGAGCTAGAACTAATTTTTCCTTGGTTTCATTAGGGAAAATTTATTGCTTTGGATCCTACTCTGAATTTCCATGGGTGGTGTTCTATTTCAAGGAAGAAATAATAACAGTTGCTGTTGTTATTTATTTATTAAACTTTCATGCTGACTGATTCTCGGTGACTGAGTTAAAGAAATTACAAGTGAATCACTAAAACATAAAGACAGGGACATCATTTCTGCAAATCACATTTCAGAATTGATGTTCATCAGTGAAATTTAATTTTTAAAATGATTGTGCTGTTTTCTAATAAATAATAGAAGTTAAAAACTTAAAGGCTAGAACCAAACAGGAGCATCCCTAGAGTATCAGAAAAAAAGACTAAACCCCATTCTTTTTTTCATTTGCAAATCCCATCTTACATTCCCCATAGAGCCCCTTAAACCAAACAAGGAGAAAAGCATGCTTGACTTCATTTGCAATTTGATAGCCTGTAAGTCTATTTGCATTAATATTTAAGGGTGACAACAATTGCAAAATATTTTCAACCTCATGTAGACTTTTTCTTGGTAAAGGATAACTTGGAGGACAGAATGTGCTTACTAAGACTAGGGAAAGTGGATGTGACTACATTGAATAGGAAGCACAATGAAAATTGTGATAAAATGCTAGGAGGTACATGTGGATGTACTTAGCTTAAAGAACTTTTGTTTAACATAGTCCAGCTTCCTAGAAGTTTAAAATGTATATTAAAAAGCTGTTTTTGGTTGTTGATTTGTCACTTTTGTGCCAGAAATAAATCATTATCTTCCCATTATCTCATTCAGCTGAAATAAGGCCTAGGTCCGTGGTGGTGAACCTATGGCACGTGTGCCACAAGTGGCAAGCAGAGCCTTCTCTGTGGGCACACGTGCCGTTACCCCAGTCCTAGGCCTTCAGCTGGGTTTCATAAAACCTTTTTGCTTTAGGCCTCCACCGCTGTGTGCAAAAATAAAAAAGGTTCAATCAATCAATCAATTTCAACTTCTCACAGGAAAAAAAAGATCTTACAAAGTTGGAATTGATTAATTGAACTTTTTAGTCCTACCAAGTCTTCCATTACCACCACAGCCATGCCCACCCCATGGTCCAGGCCCACCCAATGGTCCACGCCCACCCAGCACCCGATGATATGCAAGTGGGTTTTGGGTTATAGTTTGGGCACTTGGTCTCTAAAAGGTTCGCCATCGCTGACATGTCAAACTTGTGATGTCACATGATGTCACACGATGTATTGGAACTTTTTTCCCATTGCCAGCAATGGGATGGGCGCAGTTTCCTCATGACCCGTCCGGTCCATGGGCCAGCAGTTTGATACCCCTCATTTACAGTGTAAGCCTAGATCCCAGCCATGCTTAGGGAAAGTTGGATAATATTTAATTGATCTGCTTCATTTATATAGGTACTTATCAGCTGCTATCTTTGTCAACCTCTACAACATTAAGCTATGTGGACTGCAACTCCCAGAATTCCTCTGCCTGCATGAGAAACACTGGTCTAGAATCAGATAAATTAATCTGCCCTGTAAGTTCAGCAAGCTAATGTCACCTACGTCTGTCATCGTCAAATGAAACAAAATCCAGGAATGCGGGTACAAGGTGGTTAGCAAGATTTATTCCCAGCAAACGAAAAGTCAGCATTGTGAGTGTTTTGCTCCCAGTGCTTTACATAACCGTGCCCTGCCCTACACCCCCACCCCCAGCAACAAACCAGCATCCGCCCAGAGCGTGTAAAACCCCCAGGTCCTTTTCTGTCCTTCCCTCAGCCCGGCCACGCCTTGCTGGTCCTCTGCCCAGCAGCTACAGTCCAGGGCCTTCCGCCGGCTCGCCAGGCTTTCCACATTGTCCATGCCCTCAGCCGTCCCCTCCTGTGTCTTCCATAGGTCCACCTGCACGTCAGCAGCCTCCTCTCACCTCCTGGAGCCCTCCGTGTCATCTGAAGGCAGTCTGCAGTGACCAGAGGCTTTCCCGAAGCCCAGCTGCTGTGGCTGATGTCAGGCTTCCTCCCGGCTGCCGGCAAACCTCCGCAGCCGGCTAGAGGCAGGTAATGCGCTGCAGGAAGCGCCGGGGGAGGGACATCCCTGCCTTCCGCCTTCCCCGTTCAGTGGCTGGCTCAGCTCCGGACTGTGGGCAGCATGAGGGCCGTCCCTGCCTTCTGCCTGCCCCGTCCCTGCCTTCTGCCTGCCTGGCTCCAGACTGTGGGCGGCGTCTGGCTGTTCAGCTGGCTGCCCCAGGACTGGAGCTGGCTGCTCCAGTTCACACACACACCCCCACCGGTGAATGGCAAGCCCTGCGGGGCTTGACAGCTAGGTTCAAATTACATTATCTTAGAGAATGGGTGCCATATTGTGGGAAGAATCCAGAGAGGAAATATTTTAGGAAAAATTGAAAGGGCAGAATATATTTCCCCAAGGGATTTTGAGGGTGGAGGCCAATCCCCCACCCAGGTCTCTCTGTCCCCAACAGAAACCAGGTCTGCAGAAATGAAGATGTGATAATCTTGTCAAAAAGATTGGATCTAAGAAGCTTGGATTAGAAAAAAAGATCCTTAGAATCAACAATCCCTCACACCAAAAATCCAACAGTCATCAGCCACAGCCACAGGGAAGCAGGATATGACCTTTCAGACATAATAGGATTAACCCACCACCATCAGAATACCAGAAAGGCACACTCAGACTCAGGTCAAAGTTCATACCACAGGAACAACTCCAAAGAAAAGCTCAAGAAGGTATAAAAGCCCACCACTCTCTGCTACATGTGGTCAGTTTTCCCAGAGCCATCTTTCTGTCTGGCTCTCCTCTTCAATAAACTACAACCTTGTTTCTAAAGCAATCTCCATTTTTATTATTCCCAGCTTGGACTGGACCCTGGTGAAGACTTTTCCCTCAACAATATTTTAGTAAAGCACAACAGTTTTTATTAGCTGTTGTACTTTTAAGTTTTAACAATGTGTACAAATTTTACAAAACATCCCACAAAATAAAAAGACACATTGAAAAAAGAAAGTAATTATAACCTAAACAAAAAAGCAATTAAAAAGACGTTTCAAAATATTCATATCATGTGTCCATTAAATATTAAACAGCATTTAAAAATTTCTAAGTTTAAATGAAAGAATAAATAATACTCTTTTGCTGCAAAGGCCGTGAAATCTGTGCCAAAGGGAAATATTGCAAAACATTTCTACGATTTGTAAGAATACGCAGATCGCCTTCCTCGGTAGAGACTGGGAACCTCCGAAAGCTCATGTGATTTAGACACTTCTCTTTTTTGTCTATCTTATCGTTGGAAGCGTTTTGGTGCAAGAGCGAGCCGCCGGCCTTGCGTAAAAGCAGCTTCAATCAATACTTTTACGTATATCTCCAAGCAGCGAGAGTGCCTCTGCCGGGCCATTTGCAAACAAAGCCCGCGGGAGCCCATCGGGTCACAGGTCGCAGACCAAAATCGTTATCAGCGGAGTCAGTGAGGGGAAGAAGTGCGGAATGTGCGCGGGCTACTCAGGGAGTAACGCGCGCTTACAGCCCCCAGGCCGCGCGCTGCCTTATCTATGACTCTGTTCACAAGGAAATCTCACTGAACTAAACGAGACGCGTATTGAGATGTGTATGTTGGCGAAGCAGCCGGGAACCGTAAGGAAAGGTGCGGGCAGAGCAAGCGCGCTTCCCGGAGGCTTGGAAGGGACGCCCTCCCCCAGCGGGGTCCCCGCAGTATCTCCTTTCGGAGGATTTGAAGTTGGGACTTGGGAGGGAAAGAATTTTCTGACGTTTCCAATAGGGTCCGTCCGACTTCCTGCGCTCTGCAACTAAGGCAAAACAAAGCAGGAGGTCGGAAGCGCCTAAGAAAAGTCCCCCAAAAGACCCGAACTGGAACCCGCACCTGCTTCTCTGGAGTAGCCGCCGGGAACCCGCCGCTTTTACGTAGTCGAGGAAAGGGGGAGGGGAAAGCTACGTATCCTCAGTACTTCGGAACGTAGGGCAGGCTTATAAAAACTGCAGCTCCCGCTCTTTCCATAGGGGCTCATGGAAAGGGAGAATAGAAGCGAGCGCGGTATCCGATTGCTGCTGCGATTTCTTCGGCCAGCAAACGGAGGCGCAGCGCGAACTCTAGGCTAAGTGGTGCGGGCACTTCGGCAGTCTGAGCAGACAATGGGGCTTCAGTCCGAAAACAGCAAAGCCCCGGCAACGGATGATAAGCCTCCGCGGCTGAACACCTGTCACGGCAAAGTCTTCTGTAACATTAAGGTAAGAAAGACCTTCGCTCAGAGAAAAAGAGTGGGAAGCAGTTGGGAAGGAGTCCGCCTCGCCGCTGCTTCGTTCTCAGAGGACGGGCGCCGTTTCCTCCTAAGGACAGAACGGGGTCGAGATGTTCTCGCTGCCCTTCGCCCCTCTCAGCACAGCCCTTCTTACTTCTTGCCTGGCTCATTTGGCCTCATCCGAGCCCACTTTAAAGTTCATTTAAAAATGGGCAAGTTTTCAATTGTGAAAATATTAATAGACAAAATCCACCATTATTTAATTCAGATTTCAACCTATTAATGGGTTTCTTGGAAGCGGTACACAGCCCTTGAACTGAGTACAGTATTCAAGGCTATGGTCCTCTCTGTGCACTTATTTCCTCATTGATTTGCCACATTTATAAGGCCCCCTGACTCCATAAAAACTCTGAGTGACACATAGCATTAAAAACAATAACAATATAAACAGTGAGAAGACCAGTGCATGTCTAAAAAAAAAAAGTTCAAACATACAAAATCTTATACTGTAGGCTTTTTAAACGTCCAGCCTCAAACCCTGGAGAAAAAAGACTTTAAAGTCTTTCAGGAGAGGTCTTTGTGGGAGATGCTGTTCTAGAGGTCACATTCTGTGAAAGACGAATAAGATTCCTGTTTTACTGGGAAGTAAATTGATAGGAAATGCCTAAGATTATAAAGCTTTCATAACAAGATTTAGAACATCCTATGCAAATTATATAGGAAGTTTATGAAATCAACAACTGGTATTCATTTCTGAATAACAATGTATTACTCTGTATATATTGCAATGTACTAAAACATATGCTGTATATTGCAAAAAAACATTTTTTTAAAAAACCAAAATTCTTTACTTGCCCAAACCTATATGCTTTTGCTGTGATTCACAGTTTAATTAAGCTGGAGTATTAGGTGACACATCAGATGGGGTTGCCTCTCAGTGAAGCATTTAGACAAATGCTTACCTCTTTGACCTATCTTCAGTACTAAGTACTACTCCAAATGTTGTCCTCTAAGTTATCGTCTCCCATTTTTCCTCTTTTTACTTTATGTTCATAATCTGTTTGCATCTTATATCCAGATGGTCTGATTTTCTGCCTTCTAGTCACTACCTGAGGGGAACAGTCAGCTTTTATTTGTCCCAGGATTGATTACTTAGTTCTTCTTGCAGTCTGTTCTTATATGAACCATCTCTAGGTGTTTAATTTTTTTCTATGAGTTTTACTTAATGCCAGGCTTTCATAACTGTATATTGTCACTAAAAAATAATTGCTTTAGCTTTTTTTTAATGTTTGGGGACATCCTTCATGACATTGCTTAAATCTGTCATTGACATCCTTTCCAGAATATCTCTTCTTCTCTGGCAGGCTGTTCACCTTTATCTATTTCTAAGCCCAAGAAAATAAAATTATCCATCAACTTTACTTTTTCTCGTCCACTGTACATCCACTAAGCATTAGTGTTTCCTAATAGTTTAACACAAAATCAGGTATTGCTTTCCTCACTTTTGCTTTCACAATGAGCTCTTTAAGATGACCTCTTCTTTTGGCAAACAAACAGGGTTATCAACATAGCTTAAATTGCTTAAAAATGGTTGGAAGTGATTTTTGCCTTGCTTTGCTATTCTGAACCCTTTTAAATTCTGTTCTTACAGTACTTTCTTATGCATAAGGTCTTTCCAAAAAATATTACATATTCTGACATTCTTTAGCTTATTCTGATATAAATTATAAGCTTTGCTGTAGTTAATAACTCATCTTTTTGTATTACTTTATAAACTAGAATAGACCATCTTATATTAGCTATCTGTTCTTGGGTCCCTCTGTTTTTTCTGAACCTGCATATTTACAGTATTTGGGATTTCTCTGTCCCTATAGGGCTTGTTTCATGCACTTGTTTGCATGAGAAATTAGTATAGTAATTCAGTAATTTGCACATTCTCTGCCATACATATAAACACTCATCTTTTTCTGTCTCTAGGCCATATAATGTCTGTGTTGAAAGAAACAGTAGCCATTTATCATCTTACCTTGTAGTTTTAAACCATTTTAAAGTATACTTTAAATCGTGACTACTATTGTGCTTCAGTTTTGGGAGAATATTTTCTTTCTGTCATCCTATAATACTGTCCATAAACAGCTTGATTTCTTTGATCACATTTTTCTCTGATGGTTTCTTCTGCAATTATTCTTGAGTATTCCTAACTAAAATGCATGTTTTCTGTGATTTCTCCAATATTCTTATCTTAAAAGTATTGGTCATTTTATTTTCTCCATTAGCTGACATTTTTATTTTTATTTTTTGTGTTTTATAGCTTGATACCAAAAGCTCTATTCAGAAGTATATTCAGTTAATATATACAGTTTTACTTGCCCAAGGCAATTAGGATAAATTGTTCTAAAAGCACTGGAATCTTTTCATTTTGAGAATATTGTTTTTCCACTTTAGTTTTTTCATGTATCTCGTTCTTCTCATAGATCATCAGCTTTAGTTTCCTATAAGTGAAGTGTGCTAAATATTTCACCTTCTGGATGAGACTGCATTGACATGTCAGATGATCACAGAGAAGAGGGGATCAACCTATTCTTCAAAGTACCTGAGGGCAGGACTGAAAGTATGGAAAATTATCAAAGAGAGCTCCAACCTACAATTAAGAAGAATTTTTCTGACAGCAAGAAAAATCTGTGGAACGGTTTGCCTCTAGAAGTTGTGGGTGGTCCATCACTGGAGGTTTTAAGAAAGGATTGGACAGCCAGTTGTCTACAAACACTATAGGGTATTTTTTTGAGCAGGCGTTTGGACTAGAAGACCTCCAAGGGCTTTTTTAATTCTGCTATTCCATATTATATTTTGATTGTATGTCCTCTAGATCAGGGCCCCCAACCCCTGGTCCGTGGTCGAGTACCAGGCCGCAGCATGCCAGCAACCAGTCCATACAAACAGGATGCAAGCAGCACACAAAATTGCACCCCCTCTGGTTCACGGAAAAACCTCTCTCTACGTAACCAGTTGCTGGTGCCCAAAAACGTTGGGGAACCCTGCTCTGGATCTCATTTTATTGGCATACTTACTGTTTTAGCTTTCTACATTTAACTGATATATTCATTATGGTCTATTCCACAATCTGCCCCTAGTAATATCCTGGATGACTGCAGTGCATTTCTCTATCTTTTGTTGTCTTTTATGTAATCTACTTGATTCTGATATTGTATGCATTCAGTAATACTCAGGAATAGAGTTATTGACACTCTTGAAGATGTTGCCAGTAGGATTATTTTCTATTTATATATTTGTATGTTATTGGATTTATTCAGTCCAATTATTTCAATTGTTTCAAGTTCTCCCATTTCAACCACTTGCCTTAAAATCACCAGTTAGTAATATCAGTGCCTTTTCTTTATAGTGTGTCTAGAAACTCTTGCAATTAGCCACATAATTCCTCAAAATTTTCTTCTGTCAGAAAGCTGGTTGGTCACTCATTCATTCATTCATATACCACCTTTATTATTATTATTACTAATAACCCATGGTGGTTATTGGGTTATGACCAAGTATCTTGTTTGATTGTTGCCATTTTGTTCTTTCATATGGTTTCATGGCTGAATCATTTAATCATGTGAGTTCGAGTGGCAAATTCTGATCTACTTATCTTTACCTCTCCTTTATTTGACAACATAACTTTTTCTTGCTCATGCTTCTTAAATTTCTTGCTTTGATTTTAAGTTTCCTTGTAAAACTACTTGCATAATCAGTGACCAGATTTTCTTATACCTGTGTATGTCAGCATTTCTAGATCTATTTTTGGAAGCTCAGAGTTTTTTCCCTGACATCTCAACCCAGCCACATCAAAAAAAGTTTTATTGGCAGAAACACAGAAGTGTCTTCTTCCAGTTTGGAAGAAATTTTGGAATGCCTTAGTAGGTTTGTTTCAATTATTAATGCAGAATCCCATTTACTGTCATCACCATTGTGGATTAATTTTAGTCCCCCCCCCCAGGTTTAGCTTTAACAGAAAGGGTTTCCCTACAGAGAGCTCCTGCTTGTTTTTCTCAGTGATGTGATTGATGTGATTAAGTCAGTATCAATTCTTAGTAACCAATACTTCTTAAGAAACATCTATCCCGAACCTGGCCATTCAAGTCCTCCATGGATGTACTTATTGCTGTAAACCAGTGCATCTGTCTTGCTATTGATCATCTTCTTTTTCTTTCTATCTTTTCCAGCATTACAGATTTTCAAGATCTTTACATAATATATCCAAAATGTGATAATTTTAAACTGGTTGTTTGTACTTCATATGACAATTCTGAATTGATTAGTTCTATGCTCAGTTTATTTTCTTGGCTATTCATACTATAGTCATAAAAGTCTTTTCTAATATCAACATTCCAAAATATAAATAATTTTTCAATCCTGCTTCTTCAGTGACCAGGGTCAGTTCTATAGAATATCCCAGGAAAATAATTTCCTGCACAATTCTGATATTTGCAGATATCGACAAATCCCAGCATTTGAATAAATTTCCCAATATCTTAATTGCCGCTCTATTAAGTGGTATTCTGCATGTATTTTGACTGCTGATTCATTTGTAATTGATTGTCAATCCTAAAAATCAGATGTTATGTACTACTTCAGCATTTCACTATCAGTGTTAAGGCTGGCTGTTATACCTATTTTCATTAATTTGTCCTTTTATGTAATCATAGTCCCATTTTTAATTGTGCTCATGACTTTCTTGATTAGAGTTTGCACATAATTTGCATTTTCATCTGTCAGAGTAGCATCATTAGTATGTGCAGATTAATAATCTTTCTTCTTCCAATTTACCCCACACCCCCGCCCTGTCCCCATATACTGCCTCATCATGGTGGAGAAGTGTGCCTGGGAGGTTTGAGCAAAGAATGCTGGGAGTGTATCCCAGGCATATATAGTCCCAGTAGGGTCACCCAAGGCATAAAAATAACCCCAGTTGTCCAGTTAAAGCAAGCAGGT